GTGTGAGCTTGATGTAAAGTAACTTCACTTTTTTTTTTTTTTTTTTTTTTTTTTTTTTTGATTTTTGGTTCCGCTGCCACTGAACTTGACGGTCCACGATCCAGTGACGCGCCACAACGCCGCCATGGTGTCGCCTTGGGTCGTGTGCAGTCTACTTGTGGTGATGGGGCCAGCAGTGGTTGGCGCCAGTGACGAATCAATAATCACGACTGATGCGCAGGGTAACCTCGTCATCAACGCCTCGTCAACAGGTGGCGATGCACGGGTTTGGATTAACGGAGTCGACGTGCTTCAAGAGCTGGCTGAGCTCCGCGAGATCTTGTTGGATCGCAAAACAACACCGACAGCATTGCCTCCCAGCACCACGGCCGCTCCCACAAACGCGCCTGTGACGTATACAGGCGATATCGGCTGTGGACTGGAGAACGTGCCCTTAGATGTCACGCATATCTTGGGCAACGTCAGCCTGATTTCGTGCCCCCTTCTCACAGCAAATGATCTCCTGCAAGCTTTTGGCAAGCTTGTTCAAGTGAGCGGGGACTTGACAGTAAGAGTGAGTTTCGATGGAGGATCATTGCCTGTTGTCTGTACATTGATGGGCGCGAACTGTATACCACGTCCCATCCTATTGAGGATTTCGCGGTGTAGCGATGCGAGCTCATCATCATTGGCTCTGAATGCAATGCGATCATCCCAACTTTCGATGTGCCCATGGACGTGTGTGAGAGGGGCCAATCGGGAAAGATGAGCAATTTTGAGCGACTCAGTTTGTGCTCTGTTGATGGTTGCAGGACAATGGCGCCCTGATTCATTTGGATGGGCTTGCAACTCTCACCAGCGTGGGCGGCGATTTGAATATTCGTGTACGTTGTCGCATGAGAGCGCATGGGCTTGATGTGACATGTGTTGACGAGGAGGGCAGCAAACTGGGACGATTGAGTGTGGGTCTGATGTGATGTGGTTATTCTCTGGCTGTCGCAGAACAATTACAACCTGACCAACGTGAACGGCCTTGGCAATGTCACCAGCGTTGGCGACTATTTGAGCATCTACGTACGTTGTCGCACGAGAGGGGATGAAATTGATGTGACGTGTGTGAACGAGGAGGTCCGTGGACTGGGAGAATTGGGTGTGTTATTGACCGTTTGATGTGATGTGTTATTTCTCTGGCTGTCGCAGAGAAATGCCGCCCTGACCAACGTGGACGGCCTTGGCAGTATCACCAGCATTGGCGACTATTTGAGCATTGGTGTACGTTGTCGCATGAGAGGGCATGAAGTTGATGTGACGTGTGTGGACGAGGAGGTCCGTGGACTGGGACATTTGGGTGTGCTATTGACCGTTTGCTGTGGTGTGTTGTTTCTCTGGCGGTCGCAGGACAATGACGTCTTGACCAACGTGGACGGTCTTGGCAGTGTCACCAGCGTTGGTGACTACTTATACATCTACGTACGTTGTCGCATGAGAGGGCATGAAGTTGATGTGACGTGTGTGGACGAGGGGATCAGCGGGCTGGGAGAATTTGGTTATGTTTGTGAGGGTCTGATGTGATGTGTTATTTCTCTGGCTGTCGCAGAGCAATGACGCCTTGACCAACGTGGACGGCCTTGGCAATGTCACCAGCGTGGGCGACTTCTTGCGCATCTACGTACGTTGTCGCATGAGAGGGCATGAAGTTGATGTGACGTGTGTGGACGAGGGGATCAGCGGGCTGGGAGAATTTGGTATGTTTGTGAGGGTCTGATGTGATGTGTTGTTTCTCTGGCTCTCGCAGGACAATGGCGCCTTGACCAACGTGGACGGCCTTGGCAGTGTCACCAGCGTAGGCGACTATTTGAGCATTGACGTATGTTGTCGCATGAGAGGGGACGAAATTGATGTGATGTGTGTGGACGAGGGGATCAGCGGGCTGGGAGAATTTGGTGTGTTTGTGAGGGTCTGATGTGATGTGTTGTTTCTCTGGCGGTCGCAGTACAATGATGTCTTGGCCAACGTGGACGGCCTTGGCAATATCACCAGCGTTGGCGACTACTTATACATTCGTGTACGTCGTCACATGAGAGGGCATGAAGTTGATGTGACGTGTGTCGGACGAGGAGGTCAGCAGACTGGGAGAATTCGGTATGTTTGTGAGGGTCTGATGTGATGTGCTGTTTCTCTGGCTGTCGCAGTACAATGCCGCCTTGACCAACGTGGACGGCCTTGGCAGTGTCACCAGCGTTGGTGGCAATTTGGTAATTTGTTCAAACTCTCAACTTGACACATCAATGGTACCTGCCTCTGTTCGATCGCTGGGCACATGCCAACGGATCACGAGCGGAGGTTGCGGCTTTTGTTGAACTGCTGCAAGTTATCGCTTTTCTTTCTGAGGTTTCTGGTTCTAAGCTACTAGCCGAGTGGTTGATTTGACTACAAGCATCGACCGCCTCGAGAAGAAATTAGCCAGTAATCGCTGCGGACGCTGCATCGTGTCACAACTCGCCTTATTAGCAGTTGTCCTGATCGTTTCGAGAACGTGTCGCGCTCTCCCACTTTTGAACTTTTTTTTCATGCTCAATTGGACGTCTCTGAAGCAACATGGTGTCACTAAATCAAGCTATACCTACTCGATCTCCCCCTCTCTCTGCCCCGCCCCTCCTCCCAAAACCAACACCAGTCGGGGGGCTTTGACGAACATCCGCTCCTTATGACATCCGATGTAATAAGAAAAATTCAAGAAAAAAAAAAAGAAAAAAAAAAGTTGATTTTGAAGGGACAATTTCAAACCAAAATCATTTTTCTGACAAATCAGACACACTCACACACACACACACACACACACACGACGCGCCGCGATCATGACGCGCGCGATGCGGATGCGGGCGCGACGACTCGTGCCACTGGTGTGCAGCGTCGTCTGCCTGGTCTGGGCTGTTGTGGCTGCCAGTGATGGTGGTGATAATGAGCCGACGATTACCGTGGGTGAGGATGGTACGCTGTTTGTGAATTCGAGCAAGCGTGTGGTGATCAATGGGGTGGATGTGTTGGCCGTGATGGCGTCGATCGCCGTGGATTTGAACCCGCGGGGCGTGATGCAGCCGCTGGAGAGTCACAACATCTCCACGGACGCGCAGGGTACACAGTCGGTGTATGTGGCAGATCTGGACAACAATGGCTTTATCGATGTCCTCAGCGCCAGCAATCACGACGACAAGATTGCATGGTATCGCAATAACGGCAACGGCTCCTTTTCCGAAGAAATCATCATCACAACAGAGGCTCACGTTGCCACCTCGGTGTACGCAGCAGATCTCAACAATGACGGCGACCTTGACGTTCTCAGCGCCAGTTCTGAAGACAACACGATTGCTTGGTATCGCAACAACGGCGACGCCACCTTTTCTACGGAGATGGTGATCACCACAGAAGCCCACAAGGCCGCCTCGGTGTATGCGGCGGACCTGGACAAGGACGACGACCTCGACGTCCTGAGCGCCAGCTCCGAGGACAACACGATTGCATGGTATCGCAACAATGGGGATGAGACTTTTTCCCCAAAGATCAACATTACCACGGACGCCAACGGTGCCTTCTCGGTGTATGCGGCCGATTTGGATAACGATGGCCATGTTGATGTTCTGAGCGCCAGCGTGGACGACAACAAGATTGCTTGGTATCGCAACCATGGGAACGGCACCTTCTCTGCACAACGCGTCATCACTACAGATGCCAACTATGCACGCTCTGTGTCTGCGGCGGATCTGGACAACGATGGCAATCTCGACGTTCTCAGCGCCAGCTGGAACGACGACAAAATTGCCTGGTACCGCAACAACGGCAATGGCACCTTTTCCACCCAGATTGTCATCACCACCGACGCCGACAACGCAATCTCGGTGCATGCGGCGGATCTGGACAAGGATGGCTACGCCGACGTTCTCAGCGCCAGTGTCCACGACGACAAGATTGCGTGGTATCGCAACAACCGTGACGGCACTTTCTCCTCGCAGATCGTCATCACCAGAGACGTCGATGGTGCCCACTCGGTGATTGCAGCGGATCTGGACAACGATGGTCACATTGACGTTCTCAGCGCCAGCAAACTCGACAACAAGATTGCTTGGTACCGCAATCAAGCAGGGCAAATCCTGTTGAATATGTAGACAAGTAGACTCGATGCCGTGCTCCCTCAAGCAAATTGATGAATTTTTTTGGACCCCCCATTTTTTTCTGCCTGACGCAGACGCAGGCTGCCTCGCGTGTTCTCCTGGTGAGAACAATGACCAAGCCAAGGCAATGAGCTCCAGCCTGAGGCATGTCGTCAGGGATGCAGAGGCCGTGCGGAACAACCGAGTCAAACTTATCTGGATTCTCAGCCACTGAGCAAATCTGACACACGTTCAACGGCGATCTGAACCCAAAGATCCCCCCCAACCGCTCCCACTACGCCGCGGTAGCACCCGCTGGCCGGGTCTTGACCTTCCAGGGGAAAATAAAAAATTTAATCTGATCAAAATTCAATTTTACACTCTTGAAACTTTAAGTCAACTACATGTACAAGTAGCGTCGATGTAAAAGTTTACAAGTCCAACAACAAGTAACGTCGATGTAAAAGTTTACACGTTGAAGTTTATCTGACAAATATAAACTTTACATCGGATGTCATTTTTTTTTTCTTTTGAGGACGAGGAGGACCATTGCGCGATGCGGGCCCGGGGCCGGGCGCGAGTACTCGTGTGTAGCGTCTTCCTGGTCTGGGCTGTTGTGGCTGCCAGGGATGAGGAGCCGGTGTTTGCTGTGGATGATGAGGGCACGCTGTTTATAAATTCGAGCAATCGCGTGGTGGTCAATGGGGTGGATGTGCTGGCCGTGTTGAGGACGATTGCCGTCGATTTGGATCCGCAGCGCGTGATGGAGCCGCTGGAGAGTCACAACATCTCCCTCAGTGCTGTCAATGTCTACACGGTGTATGCGGCAGATCTGGACAACGATGGCTATATCGACGTTGTCAGCGCCAGCAACAACAACAAGATTGCATGGTACCGCAACGATGGCGATGGTGCGTTTTCTTCGCCGCGCGTCATCGCAACAAACGTCAGTGATGCCACCTCGGTGTTTGCGAGCGACTTGGACAATGACGGCCACCTGGACATTCTCAGCGCCAGTTGGCACGAGAATGCAATTGCGTGGTACCACAACAACGGCAACAGCACCTTTTCAACCCAGAAGGTCATCACCACGGAGGCGGCAGGTGCCCATTCGGTGTATGCGACGGACCTGGACAACGACGGCGACATGGACGTGCTCAGCGCCAGTTCTCGTGACGACAAGATTGCGTGGTACCGCAACAACGGCGATGGCTCCTTTTCCACCCAGATGGTCATCTTTGACGATCTCGACTTTGCGTACTCTGTGTATGCGGCAGATTTGGACAATGACGGTGACCTCGACGTCTTGGCTGCCGGAGCGGAGGACAACGCGATTGCGTGGTATCGCAATCATGGCAATGGCACGTTTTCTTCTCAAAAAGTCATTACCACAGACGCCGAGTATGCAACCTCGGTTTATGCCGCGGACCTGGACAACGACGGCGATATCGACGTCCTCAGTGCCAGCTGGAACGACGATAAAATTGCCTGGTACCGCAACCACGGCAATGGCACCTTCTCTCCCCAGATTGTTATTACGACAGAGGCCAATAGGGCCATCTCAGTGTATGCGAGGGACCTGGACAACGACGGCTATATCGACGTCCTGAGCGCCAGTGCTTTCGACGACAAGATTGCGTGGTATCACAACAACCGTGACGGCACCTTTTCCTCCCAAATCGTCATCACCACAGACGCCGACTATGCACGTGCGGTGCATGCGGCAGATCTGGACAACGACGGCTACCTTGACGTCCTAAGCGCCAGTGCGACCGACAACAAGATTGCCTGGTATCGCAATCAGGTGGGACAAGTGCTATTTAATTTTTAGTCAAATGCCAGCTGCTCGCCAAATTCTTCCAGCCAATTGACATTTGAAGCTGTTTCTCTTTTCGCCGACCTGGTTCATGCTGACGGCATATCCCACCAAGCCGTGCTGCAAGCTCAGTGAACACTGCATCATCTTCCCTCTCTTTCCTCAGCGTTGTTCAGGGGTTGCTTGCACATTCAGACCCGACTGCGTGCTGGTCAAGAGTAAAATATTATTTGGAGAAGAGGTCGTTTTTTTTTTTTTTTTTTTTTTTTTTTTTTTTTTTTTTTTCTTGTTTTGAACAACGACCAGCGGTCACCAGGCCTAAATACCAATGTGCTGGTGGCGATCCGAACCACACCCGCATCAACGTGATTGCTTTATGCATCAACAAAAGTGTCTACCTTTATCGAATCTCCCTTGGGTGCGATAGTGGCAAAAGGCGCAATGGCTCGAGGATTTGTTCCAGCAAACCATTTCAACGAGGCCAACATGCGTTTCCTCAAAGCGATCCTCAGCCGATGCCTCAATGTCGAGTTCAGCAAGCCTCACCGACCGAACAGGAAGCACGTCCAAATTCACATCCGAACCACTGTGTGGCGCTCTCACCTCAATTTAAATCCGGTATAAAAATTCAAATTTAAAACTCAATGAAGGATGAGATTTCATCTGACATTTCAGATCGTTTGTATTTTACTTTTCAGCTGTCGCACTCAAAATCTCACGATGCGAGTTCGGGCACAACGGCGACTGATCTGCAGCGTCCTTCTGGTTTGCGCCGTGGGTGCCAGTGGTCAGGATCCATCCATTGCCGTGGATGAGGATGGGGCGCTGTTGATCAACGCGAGCAACCGTGTGGTGTTTAATGGTGTGGATGTGCTGGCCGTGCTCACGGCGATGGCTGTTGATTTGAACCCGCGGCGCGTGATGGCACCACTGGAGAGTCACACGATTACCACCAACGCCATGTCGGCGCGTTCAGTGTATGCGGCAGATCTGGACAATGACGGCCATATCGACGTGCTCAGTGCTAGCTCGGCCGATGACAAAATTGCCTGGTATCACAACCATGGTAACGGCACCTTCTCTACACAGAACATCATCGCCACAAACGAAACTGACACCTACTCGGTGTTTGCGGCAGATCTGGACAACGATGGTCATACTGACGTCCTCAGCACCAGCTTCCTGGAGCACAGGGTTGCGTGGTATCGCAACCGTGGTGACGGCACGTTTTCCTCGCGGCGCATTGTCACCACTGACGCCGATGGTGCAATCGCAGTGTATGCGGCCGACCTGGACAACGACCGTGATCTCGACATTCTCAGCGCCAGTCGCGACGATCACAAGATTGCCTGGTACCGCAACAATGGTGACGGCACTTTTTCCTCCCAAAAGGTCATCACCACCAATGTCGATGGTGCCGACTCGGTGTTTGCGGCAGACCTGAACAACGACGGCGCCCTCGACATTCTCAGTGCCAGCCGCGACGACAACCAGATTGCCTGGTACCGCAACGATGGCGATGGCAACTTTTCCACACAGATGGTCATTACCACAGATGCCGATGGCGCCATGTCGGTGTTTGCGGCTGACCTGGACAACGACGGTGCCGTGGATGTCCTCAGCGCTAGCCATCATGACAACAAGATTGCGTGGTACCGCAACAATGGTGACGGCAACTTTTCCGCACAGATGGTCATCACCACAGAGGCCGAAGGCGCGAGCTCAGTCTATGCGGTGGACTTGGACAACGACGGCCACCTCGACGTCCTGAGCGCCAGCTCCAGCGACGGCAAAATTGCGTGGTACCGTAACAACGGTGACGGCACGTTTTCTTCGCAAATTGCCATTGTGACGGAGGGGGGTGGGGCCCACTCGGTATTTGCGGCAGATTTGGACAATGACGGCCACCTCGACGTCCTCGGTGCCATTACCTACGAGAACAAGATTGCGTGGTACCGCAATCAAATTGGTCAAATGCTTTTATAAACTTGCTTGGCGGCTGCGCGCGTCTGACCAGCCAAACTGCTCTGCACCGAGAGTGCCGCAACATCGCGCCCAACAGCGCCGCGCGACCATTGATCAGGCCAGGAGCATTTCTGCCAATGCGTCACCCCTGCAGTGCACAGCGTCTCCGCTCGGGTACCTTGGTCTCTAAAGGAATACGAATGCACACTTCTGACTGTACCTGAATTCAAGAGAAAAGAATGCAATTCATAAACACTGTCTCTTATCATCAAGAACAACTTCTTTACCACACGTAACAGCAAAAAGAGCTTTGAATTTTTATAACATTCGGATGTAAACTTTCATAATAAATTAAAAATGTCAGAATATTATGACATCTGAGCACTTTCTTTTTTCTTTTGGTGTTCAAGAGCTCGATGATGATGCGGGCACTGGTGGCGTCCAGCGTCCTCGTGCTTCTGGGCTGGGCTGTGACGGCCAGTGAGGATGATGATGTGCCGGTTATTGCCGTGGGTGAGGATGGGGCGTTGTTGATCAATGCGAGCAATCGTGTGGTGGTCAATGGTGTGGATGTGCTGGCCGTGCTCACGGCGATGGCGATTGATTTGAACCCGCGGCGTGTGATGGCCCCTGTGGAGAGTCACGCGATTACCGCCAACGCCGGGTCGGCGCGTTCGGTGTATGCGGCAGATCTGGACAACGACGGACATATCGACGTCCTCAGTGCCAGCGTGTCGGACAGCAAGATTGCCTGGTATCGCAACAATGGCAACGGCACCTTCTCTACTCAGAACATCATCACCCGAAGCGCCGTTTCTGCCTTTTCGGTGTTTGCGGCCGACCTCGACCGTGACGGTGATACTGACGTTCTCAGCGCCAGCTTCACCGATGACAAGATTGCGTGGTATCGCAACCGTGGTGATGGCACGTTTTCCGCACAGATCACCATCAGTGCAGAGGCCGATGGTGCGTCCTCGGTGTACGCGGCGGACCTGGACGAAGATGGCGACTTTGACATTCTCAGCGCCAGCCACAAGGACGACAAGATTGCGTGGTACCGCAACAACGGCGATGGCAACTTTTCCGCACCGATTAACATCACCACAAACGCCGATGGTGCCTACTCGGTTTATGCGGCAGACCTGGACAACGACGGTGACATGGATGTTCTCAGCGCCAGCTACAACGACGACAAGATTGCGTGGTATCGCAACAATGGCGACGGCAACTTTTCCGCACCGATTAACATCACCACGGACGACAAGGGTGCGTCTTCAGTGTATGCGGCGGACCTGGACAACGACGGCGACATGGACGTGCTCAGCGCCAGTGTTCATGACGACAAGATTGCGTGGTACCGCAATCATGGTAATGGCACCTTTTCCGCGCCAAACGTTGTCACCACAGACGCCCTCTACGCGCGCTCAGTGTATGCCGCAGACCTGGACAAGGATGGCAACCTGGACATTCTCAGTGCCAGTATTGATGACGACAAGATTGCCTGGTACCGCAATCATGGTAACGGCACCTTTTCCTCGCAGATGAGCATCACCACGGACGTCGGCGGTGCGTACTCGGTGTTTGCGGCGGACCTAGACAACGACGGCAACCTCGACGTTCTCAGTGCCGGCTCGCATGATGGCAAGATTACGTGGTATCGCAACCAGATGAGGCAAGTACTATTAAACTTGTAGCCGACTCCACGGACCTTGATCAGGGCCTTGGGCGGTGCGTGAATCCTTTTTTTTTTTTTTTTTTTTTTTTCTGTGTCTGGCAAGCCAGGTTACCCGAACATCGTGAGGGACTCAGATAGCTCGAAGCGCTACAACGCATTGAGAGTCATACTTTTCTGTTTTCGCGCACCATTATCCGCCTCTGTGAACCATCAACAGGTGGCACAGCTTGAATCGAAATACTTTTCCCAACGAACAACGCACGCCTCACTCTCACTCGACGCTCACACAGAGCATAAGCGAGAGCAAGAGCGAGAACGAGATTCCACGTACAGCTGCTCACATCTTCCCCCGTCCCCATCAGCCGTCTCCTCGACCCATCGCCCATCGCCCATCCGCCCATCGCACAACGACCCGCCGTGACGCAGACCCCCATATAACACACATCACTGATTGTCAGAAAATTATTGTCAGAAGGTTCTCAGAGAGACGAGAGAAGACAGAGAGATGAGAGAAGACAGGAGACAGAGAGACAGAGAGACAGGGAGAGAGACTGAGAGACAGAGAGACAGAGAGACAGAGAGACAGAGAGACAGAGAGACTG